CTTCCCTTCCGTCAGGTGTCCGCTCAAAAACCGCTTTCCCGGAGGAGCTTTTCCTGAACACCACGTGTTTCGGGGAACAACCTCGCTCCCAGTCCCCTTTATGTGCTTTGATTTTCTTTAGAGGCCTGTTCACCATCGCACATGGAGATTCTGCCTCTGTGTTCACTCGCCCCAGCCCAGCGGAGAATACGTCCCCTGAGGGCCCTCGCTACTGCTCTGCTCCTTTCATTTGATTTCCAGCTAAATATGTTAATGGATGAGTGAACGAATTCTTGAACATCTATAGTTCTTTGCTCTTAGTATACGTATAGCACGGAATTGGGATATGCAGTTCTTTCTTGGTGAGGGCAGGGGGGAGAGGGAGAGACAGAGAGAGAGACAGACACACCCACACCCACACGCACGCACACACACGCGCACACACACGCGCACACACACACGCGCACACACATACACACACACAGATAAAACCTCATAGGACGTGTTCTCACTGAAGTCCCTGCCACCCTGTGTGCTAACATGGGCACACGCCCCTCACTCTGCCCTCTCCCACCCTCCTACCCCCCCCCCCAAGGCTTGTTTGATGCTACTTGCTCTGCTAGAATCTCCTTTTCGTCTCTGCTTAATAAAACCTTACGTGTGGGGCCCCCGAGTGGCTCAGTCGATTAAGCTTCCGACTTCAGCTGAGGTCATGATCTCCTGGTTCATGAGTTCAAGCCTCACATCGGGGTCTCTGCTGTTGGCACAGAGCCTGCTTCAGGTCCTCTGTCCCCTCTCTCTCTGCCTCTCTCTCTCTCTCTCTCTCTCTGTCTCTCAATAAATAAACTTAAAAAAATAAAACAAAACAAAACCAAACCCCAAAACCTTGCATGCTATTTAGGGACCTGCTCAAATACCGCCTGTTCTGTAGGATCCTTCCAAATCGCTGTGTTGGAAACAATGCCTGTATCATCTATTTCTCCACCGAATATTTTTTGTTTGTTGTAGTTTTCATGACAGCCTATTTTATATTAAAATTCCTCTTGCGTGGGTATGATACCACCTCCCTTCATATGTTGAATCCCTAGAGGGTAGGACCTAATTTCAGCTGATGTGTGGTAAGGCTGGGGGATGTCGTGGAAACTATAAAGACTTTATACAAGGATATACATGGCTTAGGATCTTGAATCTAACACTCAGACGTTATGAACTTAGGAGTCATCCAATGTCTCCAAGCCGCAAGGTTATCATCTGTTAAATGGGCAGTTGTACACATCTCATGAAGAAACCTTTATTAACATCTAGCCTGTACTGGGTACATTCGCTGCCACCAAGGGTGCAGACTGCTTTAGACCCAAGTATACAGTAGACGCTCAATAAATATCAGTCCCAGACCCTACTATTATCTTGGGCCTCTAGTACAGTTGGTACTGTTTGGGGTCTGTTCCCATGAGTCCTAGCGTCTTCATGATATGACATGTCTGTTTCACACCTACTAGTCCTTACTCTTGCTCAGCAAAACATCCACTTCTCTTAACACGCACCTTTAGAAACTTTCATTTCCAGTTTTAGTGTTCTGTGGATTATTGTGATTTTCTGAGTCAACAGAGATGTGTCCAGACTTCTTCCACGAAGCACTCATCTCCACTTGCTGGGATGTAAATTGTCTCAGTGACATTTACTGTCCCGATGACAGAGAAGGCTCAAACACAGCCACATGCACGTGCTGCCCTGCCCAGACAGTACGACAGAATGACCCCCAGGAGCTGGAAGACAGGAGCCGGGTCGTGGTCCTGTGGAGAGTTGAGTCAGCCAGGGTTTAACTTTTGCCCAGTTGACATTTGGGTCCAATGTTCTTTGCTGTGGGGATGTTCTGTACATTACAGGATGTTTAGCGGCATCCCTGACCCTGCCCATTAGATGCCTGTGGCACCCCCTTCTTTCGTGACACTCAAGGTGTCCCTTGGAGGGGCACCTGGGTGGCTCAGTCGGTTGAGCATTCAACTTCGACTCGGGTCATGATCTCATGGTTTGTGAGTTCGAGCCCTGCATGGGGCTCTGCAGTGACAGTGTGGAGCCTGCTCCGGGTTCTCTCTCTCTCGCCCTCTTTCTCTGCCCCTCCCCCCTCACGCTTTCTCTCTTTCTCAAAATAAACAAATTTAAAAAACATAATATTTGTTAAAAAAAAAAAAGATGTCCTTCGGGGGGGGTAACATGGCTGCCACTTGGGAAACACTGGATTAGATGGGTCAGCTGTCAGCTAATTCTAGGACTATGGGCTAAGAGCTCACCCTCTTACACACACACACACACACACACACACACAAGCTCTGCGGTTCCACGGATAGGCTCTTCCTCTTTTGAAAGCTGCAGCCCCCTGCATCCTGTTTCCTTGCTAACGGCTGGCAGCCAAGCACTCTGTCATGGGCCCTCACCCCGCACCCACTCCCAGCGGAAGCCCTGGAGAAGGGCTGAATGCGATTTCGGTGTATTGCAGCGCCCCCTGCCGGCCGTGCCGAACAACCGCCTCCGCCCCCTGCTTGCGCTCAGGTGGACGGTTTTGGCCGCTGGAGCTGCCCCGGTTCTGCCCTCGACAGGCACTGCTTTGTTCGAGGCTCTGAACAGCACTTGAGGCCACGGGTTCTGGCGGCCCCCGGCTCTGCTCCCGTGCCCCTGTCCTTTGCCCCCGACAGCTGGGGCTTGCAGCGCCGAGCAGATTTTTGCAGCTTCTCGTAATAACAGGGTGCAGTTGGGCGCCAGAGGGCCGTGGCCGCCTGGGTAGGAAATTCACATCTCTTGTCTGTTGTTGTTGTTTTTTTTTTTACTTTCTCTTTCTTAGCTTTACTTTCTTCCCATTTTCAGCCGGAAGCGTAGACGACGAAGATATCCCATCTCTTGTTTACGCATGGCGTTACACCTGACAACATGTTTATGTCTTCACCGTTTTTAATTTTTTCGGGGTGGGGGGACAGGCGGAGGGAGAGGGAGAGGGAGAATCCCAGGCAGGCTCCGTTCTCAGCACAGAGCCCAACTCGGGGCTCACTCACGACTGTGAGATCGTGACCTGGGCCGAAAGCGAGAGTCGGACACTCAACCGACCGAGCCACCCAGGAGCCCCCGTGTCTTGGTAGGCCTAAAAATCTGAGCTCCGGAGAAAGGAGGTGATTGTCCTGCGTCACACAGCTCGCCCTGTGTAGAGACCGTCTTTTAAAGGTTCTGGCCAGTTACGAAGAGCAAAGCTGACCCAGGAACGAATAAATATAAGAAAAGATAACTAAGGACTGATGTACAGTTTCACAGAGTGAGCAGTGAGAACCGTGAGGAAGGAACAAACATTTTTAGAGAGAACGAAAGACGGGAAATGATCCCTGAGGACCCGACCTCAGCTGGCTACTGAAAAATAAATAGGACTTGGCCGGGCAGTGGAGACAGTATGCACAAAGACACCCCCCCCCCCCCACCAGGGAAGATGTGGACACGATCAGTGTCAACATTCATCATTGTCACTATCCTTCTCATCATTGATGCCATTTATTGAGCACTTACTAAATGGCACGCCCTGGCTGGGACACTTTACAGAAGTTATGTCACTCCGTTCTCACGCTAGGGGCTACTGTTAACCACATTTTGCAGACAGGGGAAGGAAGACACAGAGATATGAAATGACTTGCCTGAAATGATGCTGATTGTAACTGATGGAACCTGGGTTCAAATCTGCCTTTCAAATAATGAGCGAGATAAGCTCTTCTAGAATGAGTGGGGTTGGGGGCACAAGCACTGTGCTAAGCTGATAATTAGAAATTGATGGTAAAGACGAGTGTCAAAAAGCTAAGCATGGCCTGTGGTCTCTCTTCTCTTCTCCCCATGAAGGGCCTCTGCCTCAGCTCTCCCTTAGTCTTAAACTTTTCTCCAACATGGCACCATTATGCTGTTATCAACGCTCCCCCCCCCCCCCACACAAAAAAGGGAGGTGGGCAAAACCCCACCTAATCTCTTCGCCTTTATTTTCCCGTCTGAACCTCAGGGAGTTTGAGGCTCAGAATCCTCAACAGTGAAACCACTGGCCACGTGTCCTTGGGGTCAAGGAGACATTCCACTGAGAGGTGTAGAACTGGACTTTCAGGAGCTCCGTGAACGCTTGGCCCGCAAGGTGTCCAGCCCCCCAGAGCCACGGTCACAGGCCATCCTCAGACTTTGGGCATTCCTCCGATGACGCTGAAGCCAGGCGTGTACTCGCGTACGCATCTGCGTGAGACGAGGGGAGAAAAGAGCTCCCGTTTGTGGAGTCTCCATCACAAGAGGCAGGTTGTCCGTGGAGCTACTGGGTGGGACAGACGCCTGAGTTCTGCTGTCACATCCCTCACTGGCTGTATGAGACTCTGGTTCTGCCTTTGTCCGTTTCACTCGTCCTTCGAACACATACGCCTTGCATTCCTATGACGCGCCGAGTGCCACGGCGTAGGCATCGAAGCCCATCCTCTGGGGGCGCCTGGGTGGCGCAGTCGGTTAAGCGTCCGACTTCAGCCAGGTCACGATCTCGCGCTCCGTGAGTTCGAGCCCCGCGTCGGGCTCTGGGCTGATGGCTCGGAGCCTGGAGCCTGCTTCCGATTCTGTGTCTCCCTCTCTCTCTCTGCCCCTCCCCCGTTCATGCTCTGTCTCTCTCTGTCCCAAAAATAAAATAAAAAACGTTGAAAAAAAATTAAAAAAAAAAAAAAAAAGAAGCCCATCCTCTGTTTTGCCCTTGAAGCGGCTGCATCCCTAAGAGGCTAAGCATTTGTCCGTGTTCACACAATATGTGAACAGCGAAGCAGGAACGCGAGCCCAGATCTCCCCAAGTGCCGTGCTCTTAACCAGAAACATACTGGGTTTTGTAAACCTTGATACACTTTACTGTTATAATGTTATGAAGATGTTTTAACCACATTTTTTATTCTTTTCCTGTGTCTTTCTCTTCCTTTTGTTTTATTCTCTCTCTCTCTCTCTCTCTCTCTCTCTCTTTTTTTTTTACTCTTTCTCCTCAGGACTCCACAGAATGGAGCAAGAATGAGAGGAAAAAGGCCGGCAGAAAAGCATGAACTGGAGGTTTGTTGAGCTCCTCTACTTCCTGTTTGTATGGGGCCGTATCTCAGTGCAGCCCTCCCACCAGGAACCAGCTGGGACAGACCAACATGTCTCCAAGGAATTTGATTGGCTTATTTCAGACAGGGGGCCTTTCCACCACTCCAGGAGCTACCTATCCTTTGTGGAAAGACACCGTCAAGGATTTACAACCAGATATAAAATATACAGGTAAGATCTGGGTGAAGCTGGTCCCTGCCTTCCGCGCCTTTCATTCACAGAGTGCTTTCTGGCGTCCGGTGTTGGTAGGGCCTTGCCGCGTGGAGGACCGTCTGGGCCAAGGGATCGTGAGCCTTCAGCGGGTTGTTACTCACCTTTTCACCTTGTTTTTGTACTTTGCACGAGAGATTGACAATGACAAGGAGAAGAGCAAATAGCTAACATTTATTGAGTGCTTACTGTGTGCCAAGCTTGGTGCTTTACTTTGTGTACGCCATCTCATCTAAGGTTTCGTAATAGCCGTCGGAGGTAGATTGCATTTGTTCTCTCCACTGTATGCATGAAGTAACTGATCCTCAGCTAGGTGAAATTATTTGCCTAAAGTCACACAGTCAGTAAGTGATGGGATTGGGGTTCAAACCCCGTTTTATCGGTATCCGTGGTCACAGAATTTGTAATCAACCACGTCAGGTATAGGTGGTGTCGTTTGCAAATGCCACTGATGTACCCGTATCCTTCCCAAACACACTCACACATCTGGAAACAAGTAGGGACTGTCCACGGACAGTGTTTTCTTGAGCAGGTCTGAAGTGGCTCTTGACTGTTTAGAATGCCATTCATCCAAAAAGGACTTAGCCCCAAGTTTCTTTTCTCTTTGAAACCATCTGAGATTCTCCCCATTCCGGGCTTTCACCCTCTCTTTGATTCTTCCACAGCTCTCTACACTTACATCTCTTTTGTTTTAAACCGTCTGAAATTAGAGAGTGCCTTTTTGTGTTTCTTTGTTCCCTAACTAGAAACTCTTGGAAGGCAGGACTTCCATGCAATTCATTTTTGGATCCGATCCCTTGAGTGATTTTTTTTTTTTTTTTTTTTGCTACGGTGTGTCAAAAGCGCACAATACGTGTTGTGTACTTAAATGAGTTGGAAAATGCCAAAAGCTCTCTAGAGGTATAATCTTTGTCTCAAGGTCAAGGAAGAAGGGACACACCCTAACCCTCCTGGGCCAGTGAGAACAGGAGAGCTGGGGAACGCGGTGGAGGAAAAGGATGCTGACTGCATCAGGGAAGGCTTGCATTCAGGGCGTAAGTCTTTTTTTTTGTATTTGGTATGAAAATAGACATGTCTCCCTTGCACATTTGGGGGCATTATGGGTTAAGGATGTGAGATTCATGCAGCCTCTACCAGCTATACCTGCCTGTGGCTTATGCTGAATATTCAAACCCTACTTTGGAAGTTGGCCCACTAGTGGCTGAGGTTCTGCAGCGGTTCCATCTATGAAAGAGTTCACGGATGAGCCTTGAAGGGTGCTAAGCAATCGGAGAGTTACTGGGGAGAGGTGCTCTGAGCCCGATGGGAAGCAAGACACAAAGGAGCGTGGACACGGGGTGGGCAAGAAAAGGGGGAAGGAACACAAGGGTGAAAAATTAGGGGTATTTCCTCTCTAAAAAGAGAAGCATACCAGAATTTTAAAAACGTAATTATTGGGGTGCCCGGGTGGCTTAGTGGGTCGAGCTGCCGACTTCGGCTCAGGTCGTGATCTCACAGTTTGCGAGTTCGAGCCCTGCGTCGGGCTTTCTGCTGTCAGCGCAGAGCCTGCTTTGGATCGCCTGTATCCTTCTGTCTCAATAAATAGCAATGTAATTATTGATTCAGAAACCCATTCCTGGGGACAACTATTTCCTCAACTACCCAAGAACAATAGTTGTCTGCCTAATTTCAGAGTTGGATCCTTAACATAATTTCTGGCAGAAGGCAGCCATTGCTATCTGTGAACACGCATAAACCAAACATGGGTGCTTCCCTGATTACTCAGCAGAACGCACCGGCATCTGAAATTCCTGGTGCTCGGAAAGATGGAGGCTGGAGGTAAAGGATTGAGGGGAACAGAGCAAGCAGCGGAGATCTAGGAAACACACTCTTTGTGTTTTGTCAGACGATAACTCCTTGGCTTCACATGTGGCTTTTGCTCCCACTTGAGCCTCCTGAAGCCACCTTCAAGTTGGATGACTGGGGTTCAAATTTCCGTTTTAAAGATCAGAAGGTGACTGACTTGAATAGAGTGAGGTAGCCAAGAAATGACGGAGTCTGGGGTGGAAACAAAGTCTGATTATAAATCCATAACCACGCCAATGAATACGGCAGAACTCAAGGCATCCGTTCATTATTTACAAATGTTTCTTAGCGACTGCTGTATGCCTGGCTCGGTGCTAAACTATGGGGCTGTGTTGGCTTGAAGATGAGTAGTAATGATACAGTAGGAGGACTATGCTTGAGTTTTCGACGGGAGCTATCCTGCATGTTAGATGATTAACATATGTTTGCGATTGCTGTTGAAATAACCTAGACTTCCGCGGATACCCTGAGTAGAACCATAGACACAAACGTTCGACAGTGGCAACCTTTAATTGAGCACCTAGGATGCGCCATGAAAAGAGGCCATTCAGTTCTCACAGCATCCTCTGTCAGGTGAGCAGTGCCTTGGCATTTTGTAGGTAGGAAGGCCAGGACTTGGGGAGGCGGAGTGCATTGACCCACTCGGTGGGACCCATGGACACATTCCTTGTGGTAAGGAACAGGAGCTGGGGTCCAAACACAGACCTGCCTGACCCCAAAGCCCTCCTTCCAGCCACTGTGCTGCACGGCTGCCCCTCCCCCAAGCCTGGTGCCCCAACATCGAGTGTGTCAGAGTTCTGAAGGGACTCTTGCAAACATTTTTCCTCCCAACCGCTTTGTGAACCTTTGGGGTTGGTTTTTGAGATGCTAAGAAGTGAAAGTTGCTAGTGAGGTTGGGGGTCAGGACATTTGGATACTAACTCTAGCTTTCTGGGCATTGGTCTTGTGACATTAGTCAAGCTCCCTCCTCTTCTGGATCCTGCTTTCTTCATCTGTCAAATGGTAGCCTTGAAATACATCAGTGGTTTTCAACCTGTGCTCTTGGAAATCTTGAGGATCGATTAAAGAAGTCAAAAAAGCCACTTTAGTGTGGGAAGATAGGCAAAGTGTGTGTGTGTGGGGGGGGGGGTGCTCAGGCAGGATCCCCCCCCCAGCTGTGCACAGTGCTTACACAAGAGAAGGTCTGACTCTGCTGTTTTCATGGTCTGATTTTACGTATCCTTTCCGTTGGATCCCACTGCTAAAGCAAAGTGTGCGGTCACCCAACAAGCTGATTTCTACCATGCTTTCTAGTTCTAAAATTAAGTATAAGATTTAACCAAGGTCACATGGTTAATTAAATGACGGAGTTCAACCCAGAAGTCAGGCCCCTGGTCATCTAGTTATTCCTTCCTTCCTCTATTTAATCTTCAAATAATTGTTAAGTACCAGCAACAGGCCCAGCACTGTGTTTGGTGCAGATGATATAATGATGAGTACAATGAACATGGTGCCTGCTCTCATAGGAGAGACTGACATTGATTAAACACACACACACACACACACAATAAGTGCTACAAAGGAAAAAAGAGCAGAGTAGGTATAACTGGGAGATCATTAATACTGTAAACATTGATCTGGAACCAGTTTCTTACATGCAAAGATTAGGTGGGGCTCCTATCATAATCTGCACGTGTACCCACATGCAAATAAGTACCCAGAGACATGGTGCCCATCCAGGCCAGGTTCAGACCAGAGCCAAAGCCAGCTAGGACATGCTCATCAGGATAATAGTCAATTGACACTTTGTCCTCATTGAGTGCTGCTTTGTGGAAACAGGAAACCGGTGATTTCCAATGTGCCTTCTTATGTGCTAATGTGAACATAGCGTATTGGACAATGGACATTTGCATCATGAAAGAGCGGCTTTCTCCAGGAATGCGCCATATTCTCTTGTGCTAGAGAGCCAGCTTTATTGAGGTGTTTAGTCTTCAAGCTTTGGCCAGTTCACCCCACCCTGAACCCATGGCAGGCCCCAGGATGATCTGGGAGCTTCAGAAAGAAAAAAAAGTCTGAGAGGAGGTCTGCTCTCTGCACTTAAGTGGGGTAAGGCCATTTCTTTCCTTTCTTTCCTCATGTATATGCACACAGAGGCTGGTTTCAGCTCATAGAATCATGGTGGGGAGTCCGTGCCAATGGCAAGGATGGGAACCTTTCCCATTAAATCCCAGAAGAAGTCTTCTCTCACGTTGTTTCACAAGCCAAGCAATAATATGTGTACAGGCAGTGGTTTGGGGGCACAAGGCACATGCTCTGTCACGCGTAAGTCTCAGCTGACACATGGAAGGAAGGCTGGGCCATTTCCAGCCTGAACCTGCCAGCATCGTTGAACTTGAAGTCAGGGAACCTGGATGCTGGCCCACCTCTCCTGCCTCCTTCGTGCGTGCTTTTGGCCAAATAATGGACCTTTTGGAGCTTGTTTCTTCATCTGTAAGACGAGACTGTTAGCGAAGGTGATCTTCAAGGCCCTTGCCTTTTCTGAAATTCCATGATTCCATGAAATAATGTCCCCTGAGGATTTAGCCTGGGGTAGTGGAGAAGAGTGGACTTGGAGTCTGGAGACTTTGTTTATTTTTGAGCCACTTTCTAGCGTTCTCGTCCTGGGCCGAGGCATTCATGCGTATTCAACTCATTCATACATCGGTTGCTGTAAAATTTAGCTCTGGTCATAATGCCATGAGCTGTGCTACGATTTAGTGATCCCAAAATGACCAAGAGAAAACAGTGAGGCGCACACCCTCACAAACACACGCATGTGCACAACCTGTAGTGCCCGGCCCCTCCTCCACCAGACTTGGAGTTGAGGGTGGAAGGTAGAAGAAACATACAAGTCGATAAACAAACAGTTATCGTTCCATGGATAGGAATGGATAAGGAACAGCTCAGATCCTCAATTTTCTCCTCTGTAGAAAGGGATAATGATGTCTGGCCGACCTAGTAGGTCAAATGAGGTAAAGTTTGTGTAGGAGTGCTTTATGAAATTTAAATGTTCTTCTATCTACAAATTTTTTTTTTCATTAAGGCTCTAAGTCATCATTCTAAAAAGAAATCATTGATTTTCACTTTCTGCTAAGCCC